GCCCAGTTAGGATAACCACATGTTTTAAGAGCCTCCTTTACATGTGCGTGTTCCCTCTTTTTTCCTTCAGGCTTAGAGGGAACATTTTTTGCCCGGTGGTGTAGGGTCCTGATTATTTCAAGTCTGTGTTCCAGAGGGTGATGGGAGTCAAAGAGGAGGTACTGGTCCATGTGTGTGGGCTTCTGGTAAATTTCAACATTGAGGTCTGGCACAGTCCAGGAAAGGCAAACAGTTGTCCTTTGTGTCTTCCCTGGTGAACTTGATGTTTTTAGCCACAGCGTTGATGTGTGCAGTGAAGGATTCTACTTCTTGGGTCTCGATATTGACCCATGTGTCGTCCACATATCTGTACCAGCGGCTAGATACTCTCCCGTTAAAACAGCCAAGAGCCTTTCTTTCCACCATATAAAGGTTGGCTACAATAGGTGACACCGGGGAGCCCATGGCACATCCATGTTTTTGTCTGTAAAAACCGTTGTTGTATTTACAATATGTGGTGGTAAGGCAGAGGTCTAACATTGTGCAAATCTGGTCGGGGGTAAAGCTGTTTCTGTCTTCCAAGAAGCTGTCTTCTTGTAGTTGTTTTCTGACAGTCTCCACTGTGTCCAGAGGCAGTACCTCCTCTTTGACTCCACCATCCTCTGGAATGTTTGTGTAATGTATGTATGGTCGGAAGGGCTCCAATTTCACTGCAGACAACTGCAAGTGACAAATAAAGGCTTCATTCATTCCTTCATTCATTCATTCACTGCCACCCACTGACATGAAAGGGTAATTACTCTATCAGTCACTGCGTTAAAAGGACAGATGCCCAACGATGATTTTATTATTTGTAGCAATTATTAAATTGTATTTTTTGGACGAATTAATTGAAATTAAATAATTTCCGTGATCTCTCACGGCACAACTCTGTGCCACGGCACAGTGGTTGGGAAACACTGCTCTAGATTAGCAACTTAACTAAGACGTAACTCATTACACCAGGGAAGTTTTTGATCAAACTGATCGAATGCTGTCCTTCTAGTGTCTTTGATGCTGCTGTTGTCCTCGGTAGCTGTTGGAATCCTGCTGCTGCTCCTGCTGCTGCTGTTAGTGGTTCTCATCAGGAGAAGACAACGACGAGCCAAGGAGCCTCTAGCTTTCATCCACAGTCAAAGTGTGTGCTCACAAATTTTAGGCAATTATTCATCAGATAGTTTGACTACATATTGACATTGTTTTCCCTTACTTGTGTTTCAGTTGTTGACCAAGTCGGGAATGCTTACCAGTGGGGAGACAGTGAGGGTGATGAAGACGATGCGCAGGACTATGTGAATGTTGATCTAATGGACACTAATGTAAAAATGAAAGGGGGAGCTGCAGGAGTGGATGAAGAGGGAAGCAATGACTATGAGGAGCCAGTGTGTAATGATGATCATGATTACAAGAAAGCAGGCCCCAATTGCATGAAGGCCTATGTGAGTGTAAGTGATCACAGAGAAGATGAAGATGATGTAACTAGTGATGAAGAAGACAACTATGAGAATGTATCCCCACCCTCGCTGTATGTATCACCACCACCACCACCAGGTGTAGATAATGATGATGAAGAAGAAACTAGTGATGAAGAGGACAACTATGAGAATGTATCCCCACCCTCGCTTGGTGTACATAATGATGAAGAAGAAGAAAGTAGTGATGATGAAGAGGACAACTATGAGAATGTATCTTGACTATCAGCAGTTCATCATCATTGATAATAACTTGACCTAAAATACAACTGCAACCAAAAAATCTTTTGGCCAATATGTTTAATTAGTTAGCTTGGTTTCCCGTAATTGTAACATACTACATAATATAAAAATATATAGATGCCTTTTATATAGATATAAAAGGTAGACTTGCCTTCTGGGTCTGAAAGGTGATGCCATTGTGGAAGCCACTTAGACATGAATTTTGTTTCTAATGGCCAACAGGAGGAGACTGCTTTTGTTGCAAAGGTGCGATCTTGTATGGAGGTCTGTGGCTTCCTTGCTGTTTGACCTCATGACCTTAAAACCTTTCTGATGTGTTTATGGCCTCAATTGCTAGGTTCAAGTTTAAAATACTGAACACACATGACTTTGTAAATAATCAACAACAACAACAACAATCTTTATTTATAGAGCACATTTAAAAACCAACGGCATGCCAAAGTGCTTAACATAAAACAAATTAACACAAGTATAATCAAAATCATAAAAACAAAAAATAAAAGTGTAAAATTATGTTCACAGGAAAAAGCCACCAATAGAAAAAAGTATAACTATAGCACATAACTATAGCACAATATTACTATGCCATCAAAACACAATGGCGATATGACATGCACAGCGCAAATAAAAGCATGATAGGAAAATTAATAAAATAAATCACTGCAAACAAGGCCAGCATTTAACCGGTAGAAAAAGCAAGATTAAACAAATACGCTTTAAGCCGTGATTTAAAAGATTGAATAGAGTCAGACGCCCGGATGCCAATCGGAAGGTTGTTCCACAACTCTGGTGCAGCCAGAGCAAACGCTCGATCACCTCTAGACTTCAGCCGAGATCTAGGCTGCACCAACAGTAACTGTGAGGATGATCTTAAAGCCCTAGCAGAAACATATGAGCTTAGAAGTTCCTTAAGATAGCTCGGTGCTATGTTGTTAGTGATTTTAAAAGTAAACAGCAGAATTTTAAATTGGATACGGTATTTCACAGGCAACCAGTGCAAATCAGCTAGGACGGGAGTAATGTGGGCAAACTTCCTAGTTTTGGTTAGAATGCGTGCAGCAGCATTTTGGACTGTCTGTAATCTATGAAGGAGGGCAGAGTGGAGACCAAAATAGAGTGAATTGCAGTAATCCAGCCTCGAAGTTACAAAGGCATGGATGAGCTTTTCCAGGTCTTTATGCGGGATATACTGCCTGGCCTTAGAAATAAGGCGGAGTTGGTAAAAACTAGATCTAACAACAGCAGACACTTGTTTATCAAGTTTAAAAGAGCTGTCAAGTAACACGCCCAGATTCCTAACAGTGTCGGAAAAGGAACTAGTGAGAAAACCAAAAGCATCACGAAGTTTGGCACGGAGAACGTTACTGCCAAAGACCACAATTTCAGTTTTCTTATCATTGAGGATAAGAGTATTTGCCAGGAGCCATTGCTTGACCTCACACATGCACTCTCAAAAACAATTCAAGGACAAAGCTAGGTCATCATTTAACTCAAAGTAGATCTGATAGCGATGTGATATTTCTCAAAGATAGTGCTTAAAGGAAGCATGTACAATGAGAACAGAGTAGGGCCTAACACAGATCCCTGAGGGACACCACAGCAGACAGGTACAGCGGAGGAAGAGGAAGTGGCCAAATGAACCAAGGAGAGCCAATTGGAGAGGTATGATTTAAACCAATTCAGGGCAGTACCCTTGATGCCTACAGTGTGCTCGAGTCTCGCCAATAGGATGTTATGATCAACCATATCGAATGCCGACGATAGATCCAATAGCACTAGGACCGAGGAGCGTCCATTATCGGCCATTATTAGAAGGTCATTAAGAACTCGGAGCAGCGTACATTAGAGTCAAAAGAAGTGTAAAGCAGGGTAATCTTTATCATGAGATTCACAAGTTGCTTGCTTCTGATTGGGCTCAGTTTCTCAGTCAGATCTGCAACATGTTCATGGTGCCCAGTTTTAAAACACCCAGACCAAAATGGCAAAATTGCTCAGCTTGAGGCTTCGCAGTAGGTGATGTCAGCCATGGGTGGGTTTATGCATACTTTATAAACATTCTAAGATGATCCCTTAAAACTTTCTTCTAATGTTAAAATTTTAGAATTTCAACAATTTGAATATTTTCTATGTAGTGTAAGAATTTATTAGCTGCCCTAAATATTAAATTCACCTGTTCTAGCTTTTTAGCCATGACTGTGAAGATCTCAACATCAAAAACCTGTTTTAGCCTTTTTTTCTATTCTTTGTATAACCTCAGTTAAGCTTATTGGCCTGAAATTTGCAGAAACCCTTGATTTACAAACAAAGCTTAATAGACCAAAAAACTCTATATCTTAATCCAGCTGTTGCTTGCTGTACTCATCCTGTAATTTTATGTTATATTTTTTGATTTCCAACATGATGCATTTGCACAAGTAACACGAATGTGTACTTCAGATGTCCGTGTACATATTTAGTATAGTCCTGGTGACAAGGTGTCAAATTTGATCCTGGAGAGGTAAATACAGTATATTTGTATGAACAGATAATGCATATTTTTATATTCAAACTCATGTAAGTTTTTTTTAACTTAATGTAAAGCAGTCACACAAACTTTATCTTTGTTGATCTTATCAAAACACATATTTAGCACCTTGTATCAACGATTTAGATGACAAGATGATTTCACCCTCATTTATGTCCTTACAGTCGACCTCTGGTATTCGCAGAGGTTAGGGACCACAGCCACCCTCAAATACAAATTCTCTATTTGTTATGAGTGCTCAGTTATGAGCAGCTGCTGAGGTCCGTTCTCGGTTTTTAGTCAATTTCTGATGAAGGAAAAAATAAGATACCATGTACACGGTTAGCATAAAGACTGCCAGTGTGAGGTAACGGTTAACCTGTGATTACAGAGAACAATAACTAACATGATTGAACATTTTTTGTTTAAACTAATAACAGCACATGGTCATTATAGCTGTCTCACATAAAGAAGGTCCTGGGTTTGAATCTTGGTGGTGTTGTCATGTTCTTGTTGTGTTTGCATTGATTCAGGTATTCCAGCTTCCTCGTACAGTTCAAAAACATACATGGGCTTTGGTAAATGGGTGATTCTGAATTGGCAGAAGGTATGAGTGTGTCTGGTTGTCTGGCTCTCAATAACAGACTGATGATCTGTCTGGGGTTTACCCCACTATTTGCCCTATGACACCTGGCATGATTGTACTTATCTGAAGGTTGGTGGTTCGATACCTGGCTGCTTCAGTCTGCATGCCAAATATCTTTGGGCAAGATGCTAACCACAAGTGGCTCCCTGATACATCTACTGGAGTATGAATGTGTGGGAATATTAAATAGAAAGCCCTCAAGCATAGAAAAAAGCACTGGGGTGAATAGCTGAGTTAGGCATGTTGTATAAAGTGCTTTGAATTACTCAGGGAAAGTAGAAAAGCACTATATGTCAGTCCTAGGGTGGAACATTTTCTGCAGGTGGAAGCGTATTAAATAATAATTTTGAACTTCACTGTAAAATCATGACCTTGATGTGACTTGATGATACAGCTGATGATACAGCAACACGGTTGAAAATAGTTAATGAATGCACACATCACACATTCACACATCCAGTTTAAAGTGCTGCTAGAATAAGTGAGAAAGAAGCAAGTCAGTCTGCAGTGTTTGAAGCACCAGAATGACTCTGAGAAAAGACTTACTGACCTTTTGTCACATTGAGGAGACAGAACAGAAGGACAGAAATTGCCATTCACTAGTTTGACCAGCCAGAATGGGTCTGGTCTTAAGAAGAACTTGGATGGACTGAGAGTCATCAAGATGCCCTAAACCAGCTGACAAACTATCTAACACAGGCACCCATTCTAGATTACCATGATTTTTCAGAGCCCTTTGTACTCCACCTCACAGCAGTGCCTGGAAGCTGTTTTATCGGAAACAAGCAGCCAAGATGAAGGTGTTACGCCCCTAGTCTAGGCATATAGAGACGCACATAAGGTTGGAGGAGAGAGAGGCAAGTACCTGCCCTGGTTCCCAAGCCAAACATTCGAAACCAGTTATGAGTAAAAAAGGTGATTTTATTTAATGTCAGGAAGCAACCCAGGCTAAAATAATAAACAAAACCACCTAAGTCACACCAGAGGAAACTAACTAAACCCTAAGATAGAAACAAAACAAACAAATGACAATACTATCCCTCACTTCCTAGCCCACAAAACAGAAGAAAACTGTTCGAAAGAAAAAGGCGGCTCACCCCTTCCGCTTCAGCCTATGCATACATAAGCACTGAGTTTACACCAGTGGCGGCTCTGACAGAGCACGCTTACACAGATACCAAGAAATGCAAAAAGTTGGAAACCAGGGCCGGGTCTGCGTCTGCTTTTAAAACTGCTCGCTCGTTTCTCTCTCCCGGGAGCTGTCAGAGCGGCTTTTTGAACGCAGTCACCTGTTCCACGGTCCAATCAGCAGCTCACTACTCTTCATTAGGGGAAGGACCTGCAGAGGGTCTTAAGCACAGCACAGACACAGAAACAAAGCAGCTCATACAGACTTCTTATGGCCACAGTTGTAACAGAAGGTCATTGCATATAATGCAAGGACATTAGCATCCCTTGAGAAAAATTGTCATATGCATTCTGGAAAGCTCCTTTCTTCCTCCGTAACCACAGGGAATCTGAGTTAGTCATGAGAGTTACCCCGTCATCGGTTGCTTCACAAAACCAACAACTACTTACCAAAAGCTCATGTTGTAATTTTACTTTTTACTGTCCAAATATAACATTGCTGGGAGATTTTAATAGCCACATGGGCAGAGCATCAAATTAATTAAAAAAATTTTTTTATATTTCCTATCTGGAGAATTTTGGCTTAGACTAATAAATACATGTTCCCACACACTCCAAAGGACATTTTAGACCTTATCTGTTGTACTGGAGTCCAAGCGATGAACTATGCTGTATCAGACATATCTTTTTCAGATCATAATTTAGTTTCATTCGGTGTTGGTCTCCAACTGTACAAAGGTAATCTAACATGCTTTCTTAATTTTAGAAACATTACAGGCATTGATTTATCAGTTCTTTCCCCTTGCATTGATAATTTAATGGCCATAGATGCTTCAGCTTCCACAAATGACTTGGTATCTCACTATAACAATGGATTTGTCAAACTCTTAGATACCTTGGCTCCTCAGAAAACTCAAACTTTTCCTTCCCCCATTCTGTCCCTTGATATTAATTTGAATTTTGCCAGCTTAAAGCTATTGGCCATCGCCTGGAATGTCTCTTCAGAAAAACTGGACTTACTATTCATAAGGACATGTATCTCAGTCATAAACAATACAATAGGAAAGAAGCTATTTCTCATGCTAAATGTGCTTGCTACACTACTATTATTCTGTGAGCTGAAGGAAACACTTGTACTAGATATGGTTACCATATACGTTCACTCTCTGCTGCAGTCTGTAATGAATTTATGGGGTTTTTTAAATACCAAAATTGCAAATCTTCATCAATAATTGTCCTCTTCTTTTGATATAATTAACTGTCAACTTTATTCTCACTTGGTTTTAGACTATTGTTAGCTTGAAAAACGTTATAGTTGGGGTTTTTTGTTTACTTAATTTAATTGTGTAAGGTGTGTAAGATGACCTCGAGGATCCCTTAGAAAACTCTAGAAATTTCTATAGCAGAAAGTGAAAAACAAAAACTTTTCCTATTTTCACAAAGTTACAGAGGTTTTATTAGAGACACATTTTTGGGAACAAAAACTAAGAAAAAAACAACACTGTACACGACTGGTTTGTAATAAGCAACCGAATAATGGCAAAAATAGAGATTATTGATGGGAAACTGGTATCAAAACACACTGAGAGTTAGAGCTGTAGAGGAAGTGCCAAACTGCCAAAGTAAGAGGGAATTCATTACATTTTTTTCAAAGGTGAAAATTGTTGTTTTTTGTTTTGTAATTGTTTATTCCTTAATTACTTTGTGGAGTATGAGTGGCCATAAGGGAACTTTTTATCAGTAGTAAAAACTGTAAAACCTATAAATATACAGTAAAATGTTCAAAATGTATGCTTGTGCTTGTTTGTGGTGAGCAGCAGATCAAACAAGTTAGGAATTATAAATGGCTTTAAGCACACATTCAGACCTGTGAGACTCATTCAGACACTCAGACACTGAGCCGTAGCCTCTGTGCTACATGTACAGTGAAAAATGGAGACTGGCCATCTCTTGGATTTATTTAAGCATCTTTGATGAATTTACTGCAATTGCACTTTGTTTGTGTAACTTGTGTTGAGTTACTTCAAAAAGCAGAACATCTGTGTGCAACCAATGTCGACTACTTAATTTATGTAAATCTAACATCTTGTCTGTTTTTCAGTGCACACGTTTCTGCATCTTTGTATATAGTTTATTTTATGTCATATAAAATATACAGGTGAGCCGTATGTTTGACACCTCTGGTATAGTGGTTTCCATATTCAGCTAAAAAAGGTGAAGGTCCTCAGTACACATTACTGAGTAAAATGTTTAAAATTACTTTTACAATTTTAAAATTAATTTTAAATTAAGCACACAAAATCGACAACGCACGATATGCTTTGAGGCAGCATCCAAGGAAGATGGTGTGTGTCTGTGCACACCTGTGTGCGTTAGCGCGCTTGTATTCCAAAGATTTCTCCATATAATTATCTGAAAGTAAATGTGGGGAGCCATAGCCCTCCGGAAGGGCCCTGACCGAGCCATGGGCGCCAGGCCCTGCCAAGCAACCACCGGGAGTGAGCACCGTGCACCCAGCCCCGGACACCGAAAACCACCAATGCACCAAGGGTTGAGGGTATCAGCCATTGGCAGGGAGTGTAGTGGGGGGAGATAGGCCCCCACACCTAGGGGAGCCTGAGATATTCCCAGAGAGGTGGAGTCTAAGACTCGACCTGACACATAGACACTCCCAGAGGGTCAATCCAGCCCCAGACCCAGGAAATGTTTGCTTTGGAGTGGAGACAAGCAGACCACCCCCGGTCCTGCAGCAGGGAGGCCCAGCATTCCAAGTGCATTAAAAACATGGGGGGACATGGTACTCTCTACCAGAAAGCAGCTGATGTTAGCATGCGTCTGGTGGCCATGGAGCCCAGTCCGACAAAGGGACATGGGCCCATCCTCCTATAGGCCCACCACCTGCAGGAGGCGCCGTAGGGGTCGGGTGCAATGTGTGTCAGGTGGCGGCCAAGAACGGAGGCCCTGGTGAGCCGATCCCCGGCTATATTTAAAACTAAACCAAACTAAATGAAACCTATGTTGTGATCACAAATGGACATCCATGTTTTTTTGTTTGTTTGTTTTTAATCAATTCCACATTGTTATTTTTGAGAGCCAAGTCTCCTGCTTGTGCTCCTTTCATCTGCTAAACTAGCCATATCTGCTTTGTACACCTAGTGGAGAGAGTGGACAGTTTCCGGTACCAGGGGTCTCCACATCACTCAGGACCTATCATGGACCTGTCACATTAACACCCTGGTTAAGAAAGCCTGCCAGTGTCTCTTCTTCCCCAGAAGACTTAGGTGCTTAAGCAGTTCTACTCCTGCACCATCGAGAGCATCCTGAAACATCTGCACCTGGTTTGGGAACAGCACCAAGCAGGACAGACGAGATCTGCAAAGAGTGATGCGCTCGGCCGAATGCATCCAATCAATCAGCGCTTTCTGACCTTCTGTCCATCTACACCAAGTGGTGCAAGAACAAAGCCAGGAAGATCATGATGGGCCTCTCCCATCCCAACAATGGACTCTTCTCACTGTTGAGGTCTGGGAAGCGCTTCTGCTCCCTTAAGGCCAAAACAGAGTGAAAGAGGAGTTTTGTCCCCCAGGCTATTTGGGACTTGAACCAGGTGTAGGACTGGACTCTCATACATCCCATCACCGCACACACTCTGTTTATTTGCACACTTCTTATAATCTCTCTCTTAAATCATTATTTGCACATTCTTTTTTACTGTAAATTTCTAAGGTAAAATCTGTAAATTTTGTCATTATCTGTAAATTCTTTACTGTCGTTTAATGGGCATTGCACAGCAATAAGCATTTCTCCACATATCGTATTGTGTGTGTGCGTGTGACAAATAACATTTGAATTTGAATTTGATCAAGGCTGTCTATCCCACTTGCTTCCACATAACACACCTGCTGCATCAAAGCCTTATCTGGTCTAATTGCAAGCCAGCTTACACTGACATGCATGCACAAGTCTGACTTATTTCAGTGATTTCACAAAGCTTATCTTCAACTTGGACCTCAAAAGGATGTGTATTGTGCAGGGCCGTGCAGAGAGGTTTAAAGGGGCGGGTGCTCAAAGTTAAAAAGGGGCACATTGAACCAGGCTGAATAACAACAACACACATTCATCAAGAATCTAATATGGGAAGGGCAGGGCTGTGTTTATCTGAGACTGTAGACATTAAAAAGTCCATAGGAGAGATGGTAGCTGATTAAACAAGTGCCATGAGATAATAACAAAATGCAAAGATTGGTGACAGCGCTTGGAACCATAAGGCAACAAAAACTCTGAGAAATAATTTAGGCTCTGCCTGTGAATCACTCTTTGCTTCTCTTCTTCCTTCCATCCCATCATTTCATATATCACTCTCCACTTGCTGTCTATGTGAGAACAAGGCACAACTTGCTATTGCAATAAACTATAATCTAATTATCCACACCTAACAACTCCAGCACTTAATCTAAAATAAAATGATGAGAGAAAAATGTTATAGCACTGCCTTTAGTAGCCTCACACAGCTCCTGCTGTTTCCTCCTCATGTCCTTACCAGGCATGTCTGGACAATGTTATATCATGAGTAATATTTTTTTTAAAAATCCATCTAAATAAAACACACACATGCACGCACACACAGTGACATTTTAGACCTTCTTCAGAATACTGTATATACTATGGGCATCACGGTGCTGATCCAGAATCCTTACATTATTATTTATTACTAGAGCTACAATAATAAAGCAATGAGGAGGGGGAAGTAATAAATATGAAATAATGTCATTATGATGATTCCATTTGTTTCACTATCCACTCTGTGCAGGGGCAAAGCTTATTACATTTTTAAACTCCCCCTCTGCACGTGCCTGGTATTGTGGCAACACTGTAGTGACAATCCTCTTCCTTTCTAGCTTGGAGACTAGATAGGGTTGCTAGACATGAATAATGAGTGAATGAGTGAATGGAAAAGGGGGCAAAAAGTTTTACCACACTTTTGCACTCTATACATTTTTTTAGATGTATTCAGAATCACCTTTTTGTTTATTAAAAATTACCTTTTTAAATATGTGTGTGTGTGTGTGTGTGTGTGTGTGTGTGTGTATATATATTTTTTTTTTTCCTTTGGAAATTTCTGGTAAAAAAATCGTTTTGTTGGACGTAATTTAAAGATTCAAAGGAATTTCAAACGTCCAGTTTTCATTTAGGGATGGAGCGCCTCTTGTGTTTGTAGCCCCGTGGAAAGATGAAAAGTGTGAAAAATCTCTCAAAACTCCGCGAGCACATAAACCGTGATGTGAGCATAAACAATGTCTGAAATAATTTTTAGAGACGAGTAAGCTCGTGAAGGTCTTTGAAAGTGAGACTGATGACTGATTGAACTATTTGATTTGTGGAGCTGCATGTGTGGACTGTTGCACGCATTTCTGAGTACGCGGAATTACACACAAATCATTGTGTGCGCGCATATGTAAATCTTAGTTTACACTTGTGGGTAATATCGTAACCATTTTCCAATCTTTTGAGACTAACTATCTCCCGATAGAAGGGCCTGAGACGGGAGATACGCGCTTTGATTGACACTTTTGGCAACGAATGGCGATAAACTTACAGTGAAACTAAATTGATTTCATTGATCATATCTGTACTCACGGCTGGCAGCAGAAAGCAGAATGATAACATTCAGTCAGAAGTATAGATGCGATTGTTTTTTTTGCTGGACAAAGTGTGTTAACTTCAGACTTTAATTCTGCATAGTTTTAATGCCCCGTGTCGGTTGATGGGAAGAAAAAAAACCCGCGACAAAACGAAAGGGGAAGTGTTTCGGGAGGACAAGCACTGTGAACAATTTTGGTTCTCTGTAGTGTTCTCTGGATCTCATAAATGACACGCCATGTGGGGCAGACAGCATTTTTTTACCCTCGGTAAGACGGATTTTCTATAATGTATAATGTTTTTTGTAATTTTGTACAGGCACAGTATCAATGGGATTTTGGGTTTGATTTTCAATGCAAATATTCATCATTGCATATCAACAAGAACATTTCTATATAATAAGCAATGGCATGGTTTCCTCTCCGATAGTTTCTTGTCTCTTGGCCTCACCGTCACCTGCTGCAGGTCAGTCTGTTCCTATGTCTTATTTTAAAGGAAAACCTTTAAGGGAAATATTAAAATGTTGTTTATATAACGTTCTTGATAGGTCAGATCAGACTAGCTGGATCTGGGTCCACTCGGTGCTCTGGAAGAGTTGAAATCTATCACAGTGGCTCCTGGGGAACAGTCTGTGATGATGACTGGGACTTAAAAGATGCTGAAGTGGTCTGCAGACAGCTGGGCTGTGGGGCAGCAGTAAATACCTATGGATTAGCTGACTTTGGTCAAGGTACAGGACAAATCTGGCTTGATGATGTGGCCTGTTCAGGAAGTGAGAGTTCTCTAACTGAGTGTCGAAACAGTGGATTTGGGACACATAACTGTGGGCATAATGAGGATGCTGGTGTCACATGTTCAGGTGAGCAAACTTTCAGTTAAATCCTATCGTGATATCAGTTCATAATAAAAGTTGTTAAAAGTGGTGAAGTGATTATTATTTTTCGTTAATAAATAATGTAATTAGTATATTATATTGTTTTTACTACACTTTGTTCATTGAAGAAAACATTTACTAGTAAATTATATTTCCCAACAAAAATGTAAATGCATATCTTTTTTTTTAAATGAGATTTTCTTCTTCTCTGAGACACAAGTCTCTTCAGCTGCTGTAAATAAAAGAATCAGTGAAAATGAACTTTGAACTTCCAACTGAGTTTAAACTCAAACATAACCTGTTCCCAACAGTTTTAGATTTTGCTCTCACAGCTGCAGACTTGGTGCTGTTTAAGGTTTTGACAGTAAAGATCAAATCTAAAAACAAAATTTGAAACCCTGAACGAGACTTTTTCAGTTACTTTCTAATTATTCTAATTGTTCATAGAGTTCTTTGAAAATGTTCTTTTTCACAAGACTGTCCTTTCTCAACTGTAATGTTACAGCCTGTATGACCAAAATCAACACCATGGCTGCCATATTTTCACACACAACGGACAGATCAGCATGATTAATCAAGCGTACAACTAAAACATATACTCAGTGAAGTTAAAAATGACACACAGTTTACAATTCTATATCCAATAAATAATATGAAGTAGGCAACAGGAAAATACAGTGTGAAGTTGTAAGGTAGTTTTTTGATGATTGAATTAAAAATTTAGAATGTTCAGCAGGTCGACATATTGTGGGAAACATCACTGTGGTATCATCGAGCACCTCAACAAATGATGAAATCGTCCTGCCTGCTACTGTGTGACTATTCTTCAGCTGCTCTACTTTCTGTTCGTTATCTTTGATCTTGAGCTTGCCTGCAGATACCTTTGATCTCATTATCAAAGCATTAGCTGCTTTGCAAGGTGATGCTGACAGGAAAAGGATTAATTTAGCAGTGCGGCGCATTGAACAGCAGTAATGTGGTATTACTACTTGACAGTGATGCATAGGGAAATAATTCAGAAGCACATCTCTGGGTTCAGAGCGGAGGGAGTTGCCTTTTTTTTTTCTCGTGTTCTTCACAATGGACTTTTGGCTCTGTTTGTATTTGTTATTTATTCAGTTTAGGTAAATGTAAGGTTAACACTGACAGGCCAACTGCCTGTAAAAAAATAAAAAATTAAAATCCAGGACGTGTGAATTTTCAAGTATTGCATGCTAGTCAGGGCCATACTTTCATGGTGTCATGGCTTCTGTAGGAGCATGTCAGGATTTTCCTCTGTTTCGTCATCTGTGTGCTGCCTATGTGTTTTTTAAAGTTACTTTTGAGTCTGGTTCACTCCGAGTCACTTATTTGAGAAACAGATTGTAACCTTAACCAGCTCATTGGCAGGTTTTCTTCAACAGAGTATCCTGCTGTCCTGCTGCACATCAACCAGCTGCCTGAAACGTCATTTCCTCATTCATAAAGTCGCCATCAAAGCTCAGACCAGCAACTTATTCAAATGAGCAACAAAGCAATGCAAACCAAATACGGGTGCCATCATTTAGAAAATGGATGGATAATACAAAAATTATCAAAGCGCTTTACACCACTCTCATTCATACAAGCACTTTTTTTGTATGCTTTCTATCTAACATTCACACAGATACACTCTGATGGGTGCACTGGAGGGCAACTTGGGTCTAGTATCTTCCCTAAGGATATTTGGCATACATACCGGAGCAGTCTGGGATTGAACCACCGACCTTTTGATAAATAGATTATATGAAAAAGGCAGCGGCAGCCTCGCCTCTGTCAGTGCGCCCCAGGGTGGCTGTGGTTACAATGTAGCTTGCCATCACCAGTGTGTGAATGGGTGGATGACTGGATATGTAAAGCGCTTTGGGGTCCTTAGGGACTAGTAAAGCGCTATATAAATACAGGCCATTTACCATAGATTGGTAGAACACCACCCCAACAAACCAAAAATGTCTCTTAAAAGTTGAAATACTGACCAGGAAAACCAGTGCTAGTGCCATTTTACTGTCACAATGCTGGCACTACACCAGAGATGCTTAAGTTAAAAGGAGAATACGGTGTACATTTACCACATGCCAAATTATTGTTTCAGGGGTCCCCCCCAAGCCAAGGATCTCCATAAATAACAGTGAGGTCACCTGGGGTCAGAGTGCCAGCATCTCTTGTTTAGTCCCAACTCAGGCATCAGATGGAACTTTCATCCTCAAGAAGACGTCTGACTCATTCATGGAGACTAAAACCTCAAATTCCAACTCTACTATCTTCAGTATCAACAAAGTGAACTTCAGTCATGAAGGACAGTACTACTGCCAGTACGAGGAAAGCATTCAGGGTTCAAAGTTCTCCTCCCCCTTTAGTAACTCTGTAGGACTCTTTGTTACTGGTAAGGATAAATCCAATTTCCCAAGTTTTATGGTATATTCCATTTTGTATAATCTAATCAGTAAACTGGTGATAAAATGAAAACTTTAATTCTGTGTTGCTATTTCAGTAAGCTTCCCCAAACCCCATATCTCCATCAGTCCTGCTGGTGAGGTGACCTGGAGTCAGAACATTGCAATCACTTGTTCAATCTCCACTCAGGTTTTGGGTGGAACGTTCATTCTGATGACAACATCAGATTCATTCAACAGGACCCAAAATTCAGCTACAAACTCTGCTACCTTCAATATTTCTTCTGTGGACTTTGATGATGAGGGATCGTACCAGTGTCAGTATCAGAAAAAGGGCTCAAGGCGGGACTTTAATTCCCCGCTAAGTGACAGTGTCATACTCAATGTCACAGGTAAGAGCAATAAATAAAAGGGTAAAATAAAAAGATCAAAACTGATCAACTAAATAAAAATAATACAAATTTACAGATCTTTACATTTTTGCTATTACAAATAGTGTTGTATAAACTGTAGAAATTACTTGTCATAAGATATCAACAGCGTTAATTTATGTTTATCTATGTAATAAAAATATAGATATAAACTTTTTCATATAAAACAAAAAGCGCAATTTCAAAAGTACATCTTGTTTTTTCTGCATAATCTCGCAGAAACGCGGCTGCAGTTAATAAACTGTGTTTTTTTTTTTTTTTTGGTTTTATTACTGTTGACCCACTATATAAAAAAAAATGCTGGAACTTTTCTGTCATTTCAACGTTTATTTATTACTTAATTCCTTAGTGTAATGTGAATGACCACGAGAGGGATCTTTATCAGTAGGAACAGCAGCAAAAATCTATGCCCTCCTACACATATCCAGTGGGACGAATTGGAGTCTTTGGCAGACCGATTCTGGCCCCTGGGACTTATGTTTGACACCGCCGCTGTAGAACATTAAACAGCTGTTAACATTCGGTAGATCACAAAATACATGGCTAATGTTGATTGGTTAATGATGATTCATAAATAATAAGCTAACTTGCATGAAATGCTACCATTGGACTTGTTTCTGCTGCCCTTCTTAATGGTAAGTCTTTCTTTCACACAGTGAGACTGCAGAGGCCCAGCATCTCCTTGACGTCTCCTAATGCAGGACTTGTCTGGGGTCCTGAAGGTGCACAAATCACCAGGGGTTACAGCTTTGTCCTCACCTGTTCCATTAACTCCACATTTTCCAGTGGACATTTTATTCTCAGCTTCTCTGGCTCCAACCTCACAGAGCCAGCAGTCAACAACTCAGCCTCATTTAGTTTCCCTGTAGCGGAGTATGAACGGCAGGGCAACTACAGCTGTGTGTATGAGGTCACAGTGTCCACACGGACATTCAGATCTGATGTATTGGCACCGATTAGTGTCATCATTAAATGTAAGTACAGTGTTGAATTCATGGATTTTTGTATAAAAGCAAAAAATAACATAAAAATATCAGACTGACTGTGATAGCTGTAGCTGTATGTACCATGCAAACTGTGACCATTGCATTAGCTTATGTTTCCCAGTCTTGTTATAAATGTATACATTTAAGACCACAAAGAGAAGTCATAAAGGAGGAAAATGGTAGAGTATAAAAATAAAATGGTAAATAGACTGATTCTTATATAACAGTTTTCTACTCATCTCTACTCAAATGTCTTTGTACAACACGCCACATTTAACCAAGCACTGTTTTCTATACTTGTCAGTGCCTTCTAACTAACATTCATACTCTGATGCAGTGGTCCCCAACCCCCGGACCTCGGACCGGTACCGGTCCGTGAGTCGTTTGGTACCGGGCCGCGAGAGTTGAGGCTCAGGTGTGAAATGTATGGTTTTCAGGGTTTTTATCGGTTTTCAGCGTTATTTTGTTATCGTTTTTATCGTTTACTCGGTTTTCCTGGGTCTTTTCACGTGTGTTATGAATAAATTTTCTTTTTTTCGGTACCGGTACTAGTTTTATTTTGTTGTATTTATCCGCGACACCTTAAAGGCCGGTCCGTGAAAATATTGTCGGGCATAAACCGGTCCGTGGCGCAAAAAAGGTTGGGGACTGCTGCTCTGATGGATGCATCAGGTGGTTAATAACTTGCCCAAGGATATTTGGCATGCAGACTGGGGAAGCAAGGGATTGAACCACCCCCTTTCCAATCAGTAGATGACCTGCTCTACCCCCTGAGCTTAGGGATGGGTACCGGTATCCGGTGCCATGATGGCACCGGTTCTGACATAAACGGTAGTAACCAGACCGAAAAGCAGCGCACATTTCGGTGCTTTTTTTTCCTGAGCTGTGATACACTTTAGATTCTAGCCAATCATTTTACGTTTCCGAGGATAGTAGGCGGGTCCAGGTACGTACGTTCTTTTAGAGCAGAGCTACAGATTAAAAATGCCCAAGGCGAAGCGGTCAAAAGTCTGGCTGTACTTCACAGCAAAATATGCAAACTCAGCAGCCTGCAACAAGTGCTTTAAGGTGATACTGTGCAAAGGAGGTAACACCTCAAATCTGATGAAACACCTGGCGACGCATAGCGTTTTTTTTAAAAGCCGAGAAATGCGCCGTATTTGAAGCTGTAAGGTGAACTAGCAAACACCTCATAGTTACATGCGGCTGTCTTCTTGTTTGATGGCAGATACTCCCTTCACCCTGGCCAAAAAGGCTAAAATGACCAAAGAAAAAGTGGAAAACAGCTAAACATGAGAGGTTTTTGGACAAAGTTTGTGTTTTTTCCATTGTTAAGCACTGCTTCCAGCCAAGAGTGATACCATATATGCCCCATAGCTGCAGAAAAGGCTAACATTGTTTCTTTTTACAAAAAAACAGCTGAACATGAGAGGTTTTTGGACAAAGTTGTGTTCTCCATTCTTTAAGCACCGGAACCGTTTCAAAAGTACCGGTTTGGCACCGGTATCGGATAAAACCTAAACAATACCCATCTCTACCTGAGCTACAGCCATCCTCAAAAGACCCCATTAGTTTTTGATGACACAAAATAAAAAAAGATCTTAGCAAACCAGTTCTTATTACAGATTGTTTTACAGTAATGTTCTCAGAAAATCTGTTAAGTATACCCAAACCTCTTACAGTCACTCAGTCAGAACAGACCCGGTCTTTTGGATGAGGTACTGTCCACTATGTGTTACACCATTATCCTGCATTCTATGTGAAAGTTAGTCACAAATCATGAAGATCAAATAAAAAGAAAGTCAGACTTAATATAAGACATTAAAGCAATGATCATTTTGATGAATGTTACTCTTACTCTGTAATATTGACATTATGTTCTGCAGTATTGTCAAACTGGAGGTTAAAGCTGGCTATGCTGTAGGGCAGACCTACCCTGTAAGTGAAACGTTTCATGAGCAAGCATTGTCCCTCATTTTCTCAGATCCACCCATTGACTGACACTTGGTTTCATAATGGCAAAAATGGTGAGATTAAGAAGGCTTGACAACAGGACTTAACAAACCAATGGGTGGTCGTGTCTAACTTTTAGACATAGTTGAGATGAGAAGTGTTGACAGGATGAGCGGAGTGCCCTTTCAGTGACCTGTAGCCATATTCTCGAAACAGACTTGAAATAAGTTACATGTGCTAAATTAAAACATTAATGAAAAGTAGTTCATTATGTGAAGAAGTGTTTTGATGGGCAAACTGATCAAATTCTCTCTCCTTAGTCAATTTGATGCCGCTGCTGTCCTCAGTATCTGTTGGACTCCTGTTGCTGCTCCTGCTGTTGCTGTTAGTGGTAGGGCTGAGGTGCAGGAGAAGACAACGACGAGCCAAGAAGCCTGTAGCTCTCATCCACAGTCAAAGTGTGTGCTCGCAAATTTTAAACAATTATTCATCTGATATTCATCAGACTACATATTCACATTCTTTCCCCTTACTTGTGTTTCAGTGGCTGTCCGAGTCGGGAATGCTTACAAGTATGGAGATGAAGATGATGATGAGGATGTTGAGGACTCTGTGAATGTTGATCTATTGGACACTAATGAAAAAATCAAAGGAGGAGCTCCTGGGCTGGATGAAGATGATGATGATTATGAGGACCTAGTGAGTGATGATGATCACGATTATGAGGAAGCAGGCCCAAATGACAAAAAGTCCAAGGAGGCCTGTGTGAGTGTAGACTGTCACAGACAAGATGAGGAAGAAACTAGTGATGAAGAGGAAACTAGTGATGAAGAAAACAACTATGAGAATGTATCCCCACCTTCAGCAAGTGTGGATAATAAGGAAGAAGAGGAAACTAGTGATGAAGAGGAAACTAGTGATGAAGAAAACAACTATGAGAATGTATCCCCACCTTCAGCAAGTGTGGATAATAAGGAAGAAGAGGAAACTAGTGATGAAGAGGAAACTAGTGATGAAGAAAACAACTATGAGAATGTTCCCCGCCTTCAGCAAGTGTGGATAATAAGGAAGAAGAGGAAACTAATGATGAAGAAAACAACTATGAGAATGTGTCCCCGCCTTCAGCAAGTGTGGATAATAAGGAGAAGAGGAAACTAGTGATGAAGAAAACAACTATGAGAATGTTCCCCGCCTTCAGCAAGTGTGGATAATAAGGAAGAAGAGGAAACTAATGATGAAGAAAACAACTATGAGAATGTGTCCCCGCCTTCAGCAAGTGTGGATAATAAGGAAGAAGAGGAAACTAATGATGAAGAAAACAACTATGAGAATGTGTCCCCGCCTTCAGCAAGTGTGGATAATAAGGAAGAAGAGGAAACTATGATGAAGAGGAAACTATTGATGAAGAAAACAACTATGAGAATGTATCTTTACCATAACCAGCTCATTATCATTCGTAATGAGCTCTCGTCCTTTTGTATGAAATGGTAAATGGACTTGTTCTTATAAAGCTCTTTTATCCTCTGAGCACTCAAAGCGCTTTAGGCAACTTACCTCTTTCATCCATTCATACAAGCACTTTTGATGCTTAAGAGTTTTCTATCTAACATTCACACACATTCACACTCCAGTGGATGCATCAGAAAGCAACTTGAGGTCAGTATATATATTTAGCATTAGGGATGGGTACCGGTGTCCGGTGCCATGATGGCACCGGTTCTGACATAAACGGTAGTAACCAGACCGAAAAGCAGCGCACATTTCGGTGCTTTTTTTTCCTGAGCTGTGATACACTTTAGATTCTAGCCAATCATTTTACGTTTCCGAGGATAGTAGGCGGGGCCAGGTACGTACGTTCTTTTAGAGCAGAGCTACAGATTAAAAATGCCCAAGGCGAAGCGGTCAAAAGTCTGGCTGTACTTCACAGCAAAATATGCAAACTCAGCAGCCTGCAACAAGTGCTTTAAGCTGATACTGTGATACTGTCAAAGGAGGTAACACCTCAAATCCGATGAAACACCTGGCGACGCATAGCGTTTTTTTTAAAAGCCCAGAAATGCGCCGTATTTGATAGCTTGCTGCGAGACCTCACACCGAGCACATCTACTGCGGGTGGGTTGCCTGTTATGCAACATCCCCCAAAAACACGAAGAGGAGAGTCCTGGCCCCTAGCCCTGCCAGTGTAGCAGAAATGATGACGGATGATGGTGGCAGCAGCCGTTCTTCTCTGCGTGAGTAGCTAATTTACGTTGAGTAGGCTAACCACGTTATTACATTAATGCATGTAAGGTGAACTAGCAAACATCATCATAGCTACATGCGGCTGTCTTCTTGTTTGATGGCAGATACTCCCTTCACCCTGGCTAAAAAGGCTAAAATGACCAAAGAAAAAGTGGAAAACAGTTAAACATGAGAGGTTTAGGACAAAGTTTGTGTTTTTTCCATTGTTTAAGCACTGCTTCCAGCCAAGAGTGATACCATATATGCCCCATAGCTGCAGAAAAGGCTAACATTGTTATATTTTTACAAAAAACAGCTGAACATGAGAGGTTTTTGGACCAATTTTGTGTTCTCCATTCTTTAAGCACCGGTTTGAGCACCGGCACCGTTTCAAAAGTACCGATTTGGCACCAGTATCAAATAAAACCTAAACGATACCCATCCCTATTTAGCATGCAGACTGTGGGAGCCAAGGATCAAAGCAACCTTCCAATTAGTAGATGACCCGCTCTAGCTTCACCTACTTCTTTTCCCTGCACTTCTTTGGAAGTGCATGGAAAAAGGGTAAAAACTGTTGTGTCACCTTCCAGTCATATTGAACACAACATGATGTTAACTTTGTAAATGATGATGCACTTTAGGCAACTTGCTTGCAACTGATTGAGCTGTGTCCCCTAAGTTCTAATCTCAGTCAGATCTTCCCCTTGCTCATGAAAACACCAGTTTGAAAACACCAAGAGAATGATGGCAAAATTGCTCATCTTGAGGCTTCACGGTGGGATTTCAATAACCAATGGGTGATGCCAAGCATGGGTGGATGCATGCATTATTTTTAATATCCAGTATCTCACAAAAGTAAGTAAACCCCTCACATTTTTGCAAATATTTTGTTATGTCTTTTCATGGGACAACATTGAAGATATGACACAGTGTACAGCTTGTATAACTTTAAATTTGCTGTCCCCTCTAAATAACTTACAGCCATTATTGCCTAAACTGCTGGCAACAAAAGTGAGTACACCTCCAAGTGAAAATGTCCAAATTGTGCCCAATTAGCCATTTTCCCTCCCTGGTGTCATGTGACTCATTAGTGTTACAAGGTCTCAGGTGCAAATGGGGAACAGTTGTGTTGAATTTGGTGTTATTGCTCTCACACACTCTCATACTGTTCACTGGAAGTCTAACATGGCAAAGGATCTGCAAAATAGAATTATTGCTCTACATAAAGATGGCCTAAGCTATAAGAAGGGTGCCAACACCCTGAAACTGAGCTGCAGCACATTGGAAAAAGACCATACGGCAGTTTAACAGGACAGATTTCACTCAGAACAAAAAATAATCGTTGCCACGCAAAATATTGACACCTTGGGCACAGCTTGGACATTTTCACCTACAGGTGTACTCACTTTTGTTGCCAGCAGTTTAGATGTTAATGGCTGTATGTTGAGCTATTTTGAGCTGACAGCAAATTTACAATCTTATACAAGCTGTACACTGACTGCATTACATTCTATCAAGGTGTCATATCTTCAGTGTTGTCCCATGAAAAGATACAACATTTTTTCAATAATGTGCAGGGCGTACTCACTTTTGTGAGATACTGTACATTTTCTCCAACATTAGAACCAGATTTGAATTTAAACTAGTCAAATATTGTCTATGTACTGTAAAAATATTAGCTGGCTAACCTAAGTTTGTTGTAAGAAGCCTTTTAGATATGATAGTCAACAGTGAAAAGCTCAACTTCAACAAACTGTTTCCAAACTGTTTTCTATGATGTCACTAAAGCATCAGCGTGGGTCTTCACATTAATTATTAGTAATAATTCCAGGATATGTGTTTAAAAGAGTGCAAATGTTCTTTGAAACAACCTTCCCTGATAACTTTTAGATTTTTGATGATTTATATTTTAATGCTTTGCACTGTATGTTATTCTTGATGGTGGACTTGGGTCTGGGACGCCTCTATTTTGAATTGATATTGCAATTAATTTTAGATGCATACATCATATTTTATATTTTCCAGTATTATGACTTTTTCCATATAAAAAACATACTGTAAATATACTGTATACATGCAAACTATTATACACTGTCCCTTGATACTCAAACACTTTTCAAAAGCAAACTATAAATTTCATTTTGTTATTTATGTAAAACTATAGATAGCGAGTAAACACCTTTTCTAATAAATTTCCTACAGAATATGTAATTTCACCTGGATGTTATTGCACATTCTCACACATTTAAAACCCTGGGCAATCTTAATTTGGATGTTTTGACAAACTGAATAATAACCTGGTTGAGCTGGGTGGTGTAATCATATCTTAGTCATTTAGAGATGCAGACACAGCAGCTATCTGGAGTCTCTCTTTTTGTTTCTGATCCTGGCATCCTCTACCTAACTGACACACTTCTTTATTCATGCAGCAGTGCTGATGACTCACAGCTGACTTAGGTTATTTCATATGCGTTGTTGTTCCTTGTGAACTTTTTTCTTTAGTCCAGATTTGGTGGCTTCACCATGAATCCCCAGTGCAGTCCAGTTCATCCAAACCATAATGCTTCAAGTAAAGCCAGTCAGCTGAATGCAAACAATATTTATTTCCTGACACTTTGAGGTGCATTAAACTTTTCACAGCAATAACAGACATCAAGATAAGCTTCTGGTGTTTTGTATCAGCAAACTGTTCCAAGAGGATGTGGTAAATACCACAATGAGCCAGCTGTTTTCAACCAATCACATTCATTCTTGTTCACTGTTTGAGCCAATCACATGAAGGCATTACAGTCCTAAAAAGCCACAAATACATATGACACATGCTCTTTGTTGTGTTCACAAACAGCGCTCACATACATACAGTGTGGAACTCTTAGAGTCTGTCTTGTTTCGGGTTACAGGGCCTCATCACTGCTTAAAGGATGAGCTCAGACTGCTGTTTGAAATATGTGCTCGGCCCGGAGTCGCTGCTTAGGTCAGTTCTTGGTAGTCAGTTAATGTCTGATGAATGAAAATTCACAGAGCATACAGATGCATAAATAATAAAAAAAAGCAGTTCCATGCCAAAACTGTACTTGCTTCAGAAATGAAGGTAATGTTAACATTAAGAACACAACGGCATGTGCCGCCATTTTGGTGTTACCTTGGCTGTTCATGCACCTCTTGAGTTTTGTAACTTGGCACAATTGCCACTATGGACGTATTCGAGGGAAAACCACGGTCCGTCTGTACAGGCATCTGTATGACACATAAATGCGAGAGCACAAGGACTCCCAAATGTCAATGAATTCACGGAGAGATTTCAGCGACACTGGGAAAGAAAAAATCAGTGTGTTACAGACTGTGGAAGAATCTCCGTGATCACTCTGTAAAGGCAAGAAAGAGGGTACAGGCTAGAAAAAAGCCCCAGCCCAGATATTAGCAGAAATACACTGGCTGATGAGGTTTGTAAAACACAGAGATTGATAATTTATTTATTGATATTTTGTTTTAAGTCTTTTGTGTTAATGTACTTTTGCAGAATTGACTCTTTGGTGGTTGGCCTGTTGCACCCCTCACAGGCAGTTGTAGAAACTTTTTTTTCCTTCAACCATGACTCACTTGTACATTTTGTTCAGCAAATTTGCTTGTTTCTAGACACATCTCCAAAATTTGATTCTGTTCATCTGGATGTAGCGTTTTCAGAGAGAAATGTTTCGTTACTCATCCAAGTGACTTCTTCAGTCTCAGCTGACTGCAGGTTTCCCCAGCCTTCCCCAGCTTTATTTAATGGAAAACTTCCACAACACTCTTCTGTGTTGTGCCATCCGCTTAGCCAGAGGTTGTTTGGTTTCCCCGATGTATAAATCCTGGCAATCCTCCTGGCACTTAACAGCGTACACTATGTTACTCTGTTTGTGTCGGGGGACCCGATCCTTGGCGTGAACCAATTTTTGGTGCAGTGTGTTTTGGGTTTTTTAAGACACTGACTGTGCACTGTTAATGCTGTCCTATTATTAGACACTATACAGCGGGTATGAAGGTGGAAGAGAGGGAATCTCAGAATCATCAGGTAAAATTTATATGAATCTGTGCTGCACTTGATGTAACATAACTTTGACCTTTAAGCCACAGCCATTGTGCCATATTGTGCACCAGTCACACACTGCTCTTTTAATCCATCACAGTACACAGTAAACAAAAACACGAAATTGCCATTCAGATATTTTTTTCTTGTTTGACCTCTCACTCAGACATAATGGATCATATTATTGCACTTTCCACTTGTTGGTAATGTGCTTCTTATGCTTTATCTGTATTTGTTCGGGGACTTGTTATAAATCTGTCATGGTATTGCATCACGGACCCAGGGTTTGGTGTTTATTGGTTAATATTCGTGGATTATTGTCATTCATGGTTTTCTGCTTGTGTTTATTCTTACTTCCTTGGCTTTAGGTTTCTGTTTCTTTGGCTTCCCTGTGAGATGCAACCTCAAAATCATTCACTTGTTCCATCATTACTAAAGAAAGTTTATTTACTTTACAAAGTTTATTTATTTCACATGACACCCAC